CGTAATAATTAATAATAATTAATAATGATAATAATAATAATAATAATACAATATGCCTTTATATAGCGCATGTGCACGTTCCAGAGGATGCTCATTGCGCTTTGAACCATCATTGCCCCCAGCAGACTCTACAACACTCAGAAACATTCTCGGCTCCCCAAGGCATACCGTGCAAGCTGCGGATTCCCTGCGCACAAACACTGACAAACTGACAAAGTCTTTCTCTGTCTTTGGCCGGGAATCCATTTCCATCTAGGTAAATTGGGGAAAATTCCTGTAAAGTGCCTTTCCCAAAGACACAACATCGGGCCCCTGGGGGGCTTCGAACCCACGATCTTCCGGTTGCGAGTCCGAGAGCCTAACCAATAAGCCACCCACTTTTGGGTCATGGTCGCCCACTCGGTGGTCCAGCAGCCTTGGCCAAAGGGTAGAAATAGAAAGGAGGTTGAACTTCGGCGTTTGTGTCTTAGCAGTTAGACTTGAGTTCGGTTCCCGTTTGGGGAGGGTAGTTGTCGAGTATTTCCATCTGTCTTCTTGGACGTCATATGTAGGGCAGCGTGGTGGAATCGGGCTCTCGTCAAAATAATCAAAGTGAAGAAACTTGCATTTTTCTGCAGGTTTATGAATTTTTATGAATTTTTATTTTTTTGGCTCAACACCTTTCATGCCCATTAAAGAACTCATTTCTGTGTTTATTTTTCTGAAAAACGTTGATTAAAGGTCCAAAAAATGTAAATTTTCAATTACCACGGACTCTTAAGCTAATGAAATAACTAATCTTTGGCGGCCATTTTCTCACTAATTTTACCTCTGAAAACAGATGACCCCCACCTCCTTCTTTCGCAAATATCTCGACTTGTATTCTAGATAAATGATATTTTTTTCATCCAAATAAAGATTAGTGAACAAGCTTTAAGATAATACCAATAACTCTACATGCCCCAAAATTGACGAGAGCCTGATTCCACCACGCTGCCTCACATATCCCTATCAACTTGGGTTGGCCCTGACAGACGAGGTGGGGGCAGCCCAGCTCTAAGATGATCGGAATTGTGTTGATGGGGTCGTAAATAACGACAGTAACACTTCTTCTTCTTCTTCTTCTTCTTCTTCTTCTTCTTCTTCTTCTTCTTCTTCTTCTTCTTCTTCTTCTTCTTCTTCTTCTTCTTCTTTTTATTTT